TACTTCAATATTAAAATTAAATTTTACATTTTTAACGAAGCACTCACGGAGAGAAGTGATACTTTTTTATGTCGGTTCGCCTCGTGTCGAGTCATATATATATGTGCGTACATTCGAGGATTAAAAAGGGGGAAGCGCACTTTTTTTTTCACATTCGTCGTCTGCGCCAGAGGTCAAAAGTTCTCGCTCGTATAAGCCGATCATTTCATTTTTTCGCGACTCGCCGGATGATACCTCGTCGTCGTCGTCGGCGACGGATATTCAGTCAGCCTTCTATGAAATATTTCGAAGCCGTTAAGATCGCGTCTCACGGGAGACGCGACTGATGGGGGTGTTGTATGGGATTTCATGGGGCGCACACGCTCTCTGAATGCGAAACCCCGTTCGACGGCCATTCGACATTCCGGCTTACGGCTCGTTCATAAGTTATCGCGTATAAATGGACGGCGAAAGGACAAAATCCGATTTCCGCGAGCGCGGGAATTTAATAATTCCCGAGGTTTTGCACGGGGTGGCAAATTGCGCCGATGTCTCTACTACGGCGACTGTTTTCTCTCGTCGTAACAAACAATTTTAATTTACATAGTTTTACAGAGAGTAATTTTCCTTCTCGCAGAGGGATACCGATGTTCGAGGATTTCCGGGCTCTGAAAAAAAAAATCACGAACTGCGACAACTGTCGCGACTTTTTGTCTTGAAGTGTCACGTCAAAAATATATAAGCAGATCTCGTTATTTGGAGACGATGAATTTTTGCCATCGTGTATCTTTATAACGAAACCTTGAATTGAAATTTTATTAAAGAGTAAACTCTTCTTGAAATTAATTGGAGCATATGTGTGTGATTTTATTAATATTTCTCCAAAGCTTAGTTTGCGAAAAACCCTTTATTTTCAATCTCTCGAAAATTATTGATGCCTCAATATTTTTGTTGAGAAAAAATGGTCTCCAAATAAGATCTATATACTTGTATATTTACGATGTGACATCTTATGTCAGACACCCTGTACGATATACGTAACGAGCAAATTTAATACGATAATATTTTATAAAAAATACTTTTTTCCCCACAATGTAATATCAATGAAATTACCCCTTGAAAGATTAAGAGTAAGGGAGAAACGGTTTTAATAGCATTTTCTCGCTTTCACGTTAACGATATATACTTCCCTCGCAAAGGCATTGGAAACACATATAACACGGATAACGTAATTCACGTGTTGAGAAGAATTGCGGGTTCTTCCGGCGTTCTCGTTAGCGCACGAGCGAGTTGCACGAGCTGCAGCAACGTGCAGTATTCCTCTTTCTCTCTCTGACGCGCGCGAAAAGGGATATAGTGTTGCATCTCGCGAAGACGAAGAGGACTCGACGCCCGCTAATGCACGAGCGCATCCGACACCGGCATCGTTCGTGGAATATTCGCGCGACCGAGTGTACCGTTACCGGTATATATATATATATATATATATATATATATATATGCTGCGGACACTCCGCCGTATCTCGGCTATCGTTTGAATCACGTTGCGCTACGATTCCTTCGATAAATCGCGACTACCTTGTCATCCGAATCTGACCCTTACATCCCTTAAAGCTGATCAAGACTCTCGTTCTCGATCTTCATTTCTCGGCAGTAATTATTGCTTGAAGGAAACTCTATTTAACTTCTCTTTCTTTGTAGGAAATGTATTTCATTACATCTTACTTGCGAGAGAGAGAAAAAAGACGGATTCTTCATTTAAAAAAGATTTTATTTTGTTTTCTTCAAAGCCTCTTTCTCTTTTTTATAAATCTCTTCTATTTAAAAATTAATTAAACATTTTTATATACTTATTAAATCTCGACTCGAGTTGAAATAAGATTTAGAAAATGTGCAGTTTATTTGATATATTATTTTTTATATAATATATGTATACAGTAAATGAGCAACTCTCGATGCAATTAAAAGATTGCTCCCTCGAGTCGTCACGTGGATCTGCAGGTTTTTCGCGAATGAAAACGCAAGGACTATACCGTTGTTACGCAGCCCAGCATTTTTGCGCCGGCGGCAATCTTATTTTTCCGCCAACTCTTCAAAGGCGTCCGCTTCTTCCGTCGTTTTTACTCCGGTTGCAGAATGTCAGGCACGGCGAGCGCGAAATAACTCGCTCTCGGTCGTCGCGTTTTCCCGACGTCGGGGAGACGTTGCAATTTTTACGACACGCACGTAAAAGTGGTTCCCGGACAAATTAGGTTTCTCGGGAACGTTTTTCGTTCGCTCGATGACGACGACGACGTGGACCAAACGTCGAGTTGTATTTTAATTCATAACGCGGGAATCGGAGATTGAATCGAGCCTTTCGTTGTTCATTTCTTTTTTTTTTTTTTTTTTTAATAGTTTAGTTACGACTTAACAATCCAACAATTGTGCAAAGTTATAAAAGAGCGAGGTACGTCGCTGAAAAAGAGGATAAACGGCATGGCTAAGTGCCGCTGCACGTTTCGCGCGGAGTTGCCTCTGAGATGCATTCGCGTGGCTTTTATATCTCAGAGGAAAAGTCGGGAAACATTTGCAAAGAGATTTAAAAATGTCGAAATTTTCTCTATTTTTTTTTTCCTTACAATGCCTCACGCATTAACGCGATGTAACTCTAGTATAAAAACAGCATTTTTTTCGCTATCGTGTATACCGTATTACATATGTAGCTATACATCTTTTATATGCGAAGATATATCTGAAACGAAATTTCAGATGTTAAATTTCGCAAAAACAACCAGTACTACTCTTTCCCTTCTTTTTCTTAAAAAAAAAAACAATATAAAAAAAAAATCTGTTTCAAGTTGATAAAATGGATCTAGAAAATACTCGATCTTACGATATACCGAAACCGTGTAGAGACAGAAAGAGAAAGAGCGATGGAAAATCTAAAAATAAGACTAGATGATTTAGATATTGAACTGCAAGGAGCTATTACTTATCGCCCGAAGCGTGGCGGAAAAGAAAATTAATTGCCGAACTGTTTGCATTATTCCCTTTTGCTCGGCCTTCTTGAAAGAGAGGAGAGGATTCCGTCGAACATCAACAGATCGGTAAATCACGGGCGACGCACTTTTAGGTAGCTTGCCAACCGTGTACCGGGTGCAACGATCACCGCGAAGAAGCGCCGACTCGAAAGAGAGAGAGAGAGATAAAGAGGGATCTTTGGTGGTGTTGGACACAGAAATACCGTGGCGCGCGCATGATTCTAAGTGCTCCGTAATAGACTTTTGGGAAACAGGCGCTTTTAGAATTTCAGCGAGGGTGATTCACTCGGCTCTCTTCTTCTTCCTCCCGTCATTCCGCGTGAGAATGCGAGGAAGAAGAGGGTCAGCGAGATTTTGCCGCGCTTCCATATGGACGCAGCTGTCGCCTGTGTTTCGATGCTTACATATAGAGTGTACGATTTCAACGAATCGATCGACTCTCCTCCGTTAAGCTATGAAAATCTATATCTCGAGTATAATTTTTTTCAATTTATTATGTAGGATATATTCGATGCTAATGAACTTGATATACATATCTGAAAGATTGACACATGAGAATCTATTTTTGCTTCTTATACACGGTGAGAATTTTCTCTTAGAATTTACCCCAAAAATCAACTAATATTTACCGCAATAAAAATATGTACACAGTAAAATTAATCGAATATATTTTATATCGTCTTATTGTGTAAGTATTATATCTACTTACACAATAAGATGATATAAAATATATTCGATTAATTTTACTTAAATCATCTAGTCTTATTTTTAGATTTTCCATCGCTCTTTCTCTTTCTGTCTCTACACGGTTTCGGTATATCGTAAGATCGAGTATTTTCTAGATCCATTTTATCAACTTGAAACAGATAAATATTAGTCAGAGAAATAATATCTAAAATAATATTTTCGATTGTCCCACGAGATTACCATAATTTTCAGAATAGATTCGAAGGGAAGATTCTCTCTGTGTATCATTGAAACGTCTTATTTATTCGAACAATTCGCGCCACGATGCTCGACACCCGGTATCGAGAAATTTCACGCATCGGGACTTCCTGGTTCCCAGAGCGTTATATGTGCATTCGCGGACGGGCGTAAACACGCATATATATACGCATATATTTGCGTGTACGCGCGCTATTCGCGCATCCACGTCGTGTTTCGAGCGCGCGCGCGCGCGCGCCGTGGAAGATCAAAGTCACTCGTGCTAGATATTTCATCGCGGACGTCTCTGAGCGGCTGCCAAGAGCTCCAAATGCGGCGGGTCCGAGAGGATTCGCCGAGCGGAAGTGAGAGACATCGTCGGATCGAGGTTGCGATGGTGACGACGACGCGACGCATCCCAGATCTAATGTTGCACTCGTCAGTCGTCTCTTGCACATTGCGATTTTTTTTTTTTTTTTTTTTTTTTTTACGACAAAGTTAACGCGGAAAATAGAGTGACGCACTCGGCACTTTGAACTTTATATTGGAGACAAAAGTTGGAGAATACGGGAATTCCGCGCTCTCATATTTTTGTTTTAATTGTTCCATATAAAAGGGTTTATTTCCGGGCAGAGCAATATACTGTCTGCGTATTTCACTCTCGCATTCGATATCTAATTCATTTAAATTCGTCGCAGTCGCGGTAAATTTAGCTCGATTTACGTACATATACCTATATATTTAGCGGACATATCGGAGTTATATTATTATTATTCCATTCGAATTTCGCGATGATGAATTATTCGTCTGACTCTCGCTAGTTTGTCGCGCGGCCAGAATTACCTGGTCGATATCAAGCGGCCGAATGAAATATGAATATTGAAAGTCGTAATGTGCACAAACGGAATCGCGGCTCTTACGCAACGCGCGGAGCGACATTTTCCCTTTCCTCACCTCTCTTCTCCCCCCCAAGGAAGCCTCGTGCCGCTTTTCATCGCGAGCATTTCCCCGCCAGTTTCTCGGATTCGCGGGCGAAAGCGCATCTCGATCGCGACTCCCGCATCCTCGGATGAGAATTTATGCGCCTGTCTCTCTAATGATTCTCTCTTTCTCTCTCTAATCGTTTATCGTGGCCGCCGTAAATTTATACGCGCGAGAATGCTCAATCGAGACTCGTTCGATTTCAATCAGAAAGCGGTGATTACGTTGTAGAAATGGAAAGTGCAAGGAATACGGATGGCGTTTCTTCAAATGATCGTAAAGGGATTCTCGAGATCTCTAATCTGTAAACATTGATTGATTATTAAGTGGCTTATTATTTTTTTTTATTCTAAAAATCGTGCGTTTGATTTTTTTTGCATTTTTAAATTATAATCTTTAGTAATTATATTGCATCATACTCAAGTTACATGTGGACTTAAGTATCTTGGAGTTCGCAAACAATTTTTATTTGATTATTCTTTACATTATTACATTTTTATAATCGAAATACCTGTAAATTCAATTATTTTGGAGTTCTCCAAAAATTTGATTTCATTACTATTTACATAATTACATTTAACGAACTCCGGGAAGATCAGTGAGAGAATAAATTTGGAAAATAAAGTGGAAGTGTGGATTTAAGTATCTTGGAGTTCTCAAAAAATTTTATTTGATTATTCTTTACATTATTACATTTTTATAATCGAAATACCTGCAAATTCAATTATTTTGGAGTTCTCCAAAAATTTGATTTCATTACTATTTACATAATTATATTTAACGAACTCTGGAAAGATCAGTGAGAGAATAAATTTGGAAAATAAAGTGGAAGTGTGGATTTAAGTATCTTGGAGTTCTCAAAAAATTTTATTTGATTATTCTTTACATTATTACATTTTTATAATCGAAATACCTGTAAATTCAATTATTTTGGAGTTCTCCAAAAATTTGATTTGATCACTATTTACATAATTACATTTAACGAACTCCGGGAAGATCAGTGAGAGAATAAATTTGGAAAATAAAGTGGAAGTGTGGATTTACGTATCTTGGAGTTCTCAAAAAATTTTATTTGATTATTCTTTACATTATTACATTTTTATAATCGAAATACCTGTAAATTCAATTATTTTGGAGTTCTCCAAAAATTTGATTTGATCACTATTTACATAATTACATTTAACGAACTCCGGGAAGATCAGTGAGAGAATAAATTTGGAAAGTCTTTCGCACGTCGATCGACTAATCTCTAGAGGGCATTATAAGATAGTCTTAGATAAATTATTGCCTTCGACACGAATGTTAACTTAACTAATGATAATTCCGTTTGCTCTTCAGGGCTTCCAGCGGCCGCGGACCCGACTCACCCCTCAGCTCGGATCTGGCGCTCGACAAGCCTCGCCCCATACCATCTCCTCGGTAAGTCTATTTGATACCTTGACAATTAATGTAATAGGCTAATTGATATCAAAATTGTAGGTGAATTCTAAAATTACGATTTTGCTACAACAATGAAATTGTTGTAAACATATTTATCGTTAACATATCTTCTTTTAACATTCTTCTATTTATAAAATAATTTAATAGTTTATAGCTCGTACGAATTAATATATAATAATAATAATAATAAGTCTATTGATACCTTGACAATTAATGTAATAGGCTAATTGATATCAAAATTGTAGGTGAATTCTAAAATTACGATTTTGCTACAACAATGAAATTGTTGTAAACATATTTATCGTTAACATATCTTCTTTTAACATTCTTCTATTTATAAAATAATTTAATAGTTTATAGCTCGTATGAATTAATATATAATAATAATAATAATAATAAGTCTATTGATAGCTTGACAATTAATGTAATAGGCTAATTGATATCAAAATTGTAGGTGAATTCTAAAATTACGATTTTGCTACAACAATGAAATTGTTGTAAACATATTTATCGTTAACATATCTTCTTTTAACATTCTTCTATTTATAAAATAATTTAATAGTTTATAGCTCGTACGAATTAATATATAATAATAATAATAATAAGTCTATTGATACCTTGACAATTAATGTAATAGGCTAATTGATATCAAAATTGTAGATGAATTCTAAAATTACGATTTTGCTACAACAGTGAGAATTGCTGTAAACATATTTATCGTTAACGTATCTTCTTTTAACATTCTTCTATTTATAAAATAATTTAATAGTTTATAGCTCGTACAAATTAATATATAATAATAATAATAATAAGTCTATTGATACCTTGACAATTAATGTAATAGGCTAATTGATATCAAAATTGTAGGTGAATTCTAAAATTACGATTTTGCTACAACAGTGAGAATTGCTGTAAACATATTTATCGTTAACGTATCTTCTTTTAACATTCTTCTATTTATAAAATAATTTAATAGTTTATAGTTCGTACGAATTAATATATAATAATAATAATAATAAATTGAGGCCTTTTTGAACGAGCAAATATAGGATGTAAACAATTTTTTAATTGTGTATTTATTCACATTGGACGAATTGCATGAGACGTTTCTAACTTGTGTCTTTTCAATCATATTACAGTAATGTTTTACAAATTGTTGAATTCTATAAGTATGATATAGATGGCATGCGGATTGGTATTCTTGCTGTGCCCACTTACACAAACACATTTTTATTTGCAAAACAATTAGTGTCATCTGTATAAAACAGACTGTTCTTTTATTTCATTTTGATCGATTACATTGTTTTAAATATTATTTTTCCAAAAATTGCGATTGAACTATCAGAGATACGATATTTAAAATCTGATATGACATTGAAAGTTCTTTCGTTTTTTCCCCTGAAACTTTGTACAGTTTCACTTTCGAATGCCGATACATTTCTTGTGCTTTTTATCGATTCTGCATTTTTTGTCGTCGCGCGACGAAGAGAAAGAGACGGTCATTTGCATACGTACGCATTTGCATACGTGTCGCGCAAAGAGACTTAAGGCTAGGTGGATTTAAAAGGTTTGAGAGAATAATCGTCGCGAAAGTGGAGCGGTTCCTCCTCTGTAATCCCATCGCGCGACGCCGCTTCAAGATTATTGACATTGATACGCAAATGCATCTGTCCGTGCAATATCGGTCATCGCGTCTGCACACTCGAACGACATACGTTACTGCACTACGAAGAGAATCGAGGGAGGGATTAGCCTTTGTCAGTGCGCTCTTAAAGTCGGTCACTCTCTTCCGCTTGCAAAATAAAACTCGGTCGTGCTAGAATGCACGCGTGTCGAAGCTGTTACCCACACCTACTTGTGTGCCATTAATTACGAAATGTAATTATATCAAGCATCCTTATTAACGTAGAAAGAGTTAAGTGTCTATTGTATAACATTTCTTATTGTGCCAATTGAACAAAATAATGGCTCTTTTGTTAGACTACTGTATTTAAAAATCGCGAATGTCATGAGTCAATCTATTAAATATTACAATAAAATTTACAATAATTATTACATTATTTTTAATTTAATTTTAAAACGCATGTTAGAGAAAATTTCAATCTCAAGTTAAAATTTCGAAGAAAAAACTATTACAATTGACAGAGACTGAATAATAATAATAATAATAATGTTTGACATCTTTTAAATGCATTATACGATATTTTACAAAAATAAAAATAAGAAAGATTGGCATATATATTTAGAAGATCAATAATGATTCGATGCAAAGCACCATCTGCTGCGAAGTACTCTTCAATCGAGCTTTTACCCTCTGTTGCAGACAAATCCACCCTCTGTACGGGGAAAAGGCCGGGCTTTTGGGTTATTGCGATACGGTCGGTAACACGGAGAATTTTCCACCAGCCCCCAATATCGTAGTCGAGGGTGGTAGAATCGAGTTTGTGCGCCCTTCGCAAGATGGCACAACGACACCCCGAAGAAACACCATGTCCAGAGCGTCGCAGACCTTCATCGAGCAGCCGGAGAAGTCGGATCCCGCCAAGGTAAGAAACGACGATTGAAAATACTTTCGCTTTTTATTATCGTTCTAATAACGACGACTTTGATATAGAGGGAAAGAGGATAGAATAATCGATCGCGATATAAAATCCAATGAATAATTCATAATAATATATAATTATCACGGTCTAAATTATAGAGCATAACTTTGTAACTTCAAAATTTTCCGATTAATTACATCTGCGATCCTTTGATAAGACTTTTCTCTCTGTCGAATGAATATCAGAGGCGTGAATTCTATGGCGCCCTCGAATGCGAAGAGAACGAGACGAAAAGTTTTCGCGGACCCTAATCACGAGCGCCGAGTCGTAACGAGATTTGTCAGCGATGATTCCCGCGTCCTGACAAATCAGATCTGTCCGGCCTCTGCGACTCTCGAAATTCCTTCCTCGCATCCGATCTCATGTCATTCAAACGCGCTCCGCTTATACAGGTTCGCGGAGAGACTCTCGCGGCTAACCCTTTACACCCTTCATGTTGTATTCATTCGACGTAATTGATTTTCTCGATAGGGGAAGGAGAAGCGACCGTAGGATTTCCATAGTAAATTGGATCGCGCTTTCTCTCGTCGTTAGAGCGAAAAAGAGGAGGGAGCGTTATTCGTCGCACGCGCGAAATACGGCGATTACTCCGAAATTAACGATGTTTCGTGTGCTGCGTAACGTCGACAACGACGAGGACGATGACGACGGTAAATCTAATGAGTTAATGAAATTTATTCGACCCTTCTCTCGCGCGCGAAAGGCGATTTTATAAGGCACGTCAGATATTAAACTCTTTTGCGACGTCGCCGAGCGCGCATTTGCAGGCATTTAATCGAGCTTCTTTCCAATCAGGAACGTTTGCGCAAACTACGAGAGCTTTTTTTCACGGGAATTTAATTCGAACTGAAGCGATCGACAGAATTTTTATACGGAATAAATTTCGATCGGCTGCACAAAAAAACGTTGCCGGATTTTTTTTCACCACTTTGCTCGCATTAAACATTTTTTTGTTGTAAATGATATAATAACGAGGAATAAGGTAGATGGTGAATTTTAAATGAATCTCGAATCATTGAAACGAATTTTTATTTGCGGACTCGCTAAACCAACTTCATGCAAAGTTAACTTATACCATATTTTATTGCATATAAAGCTTTCGTTTCGGTTCAATCGCTATGAAATGCAATTTTGCGTCCGAAATGAATGCATCTCTAAAAAGTCACTACATTTAACAATTTTATTCGCGATTCAATTTGTTCGACTTTGATAACTTTTCAACAAAATTTTGATCGAATGAAAATCGTTGCTTCGCAAACTCATCGGACATGATCAGACTCGTTTTGATTGAGTTTGGTGTTTAAATTAAATGTTTAAAAATTGGCCGGTATGTATTTCTCATTAACGGGTGAAATTTAAAGCTGAGTAGTTGCTAGAAAATATTTTATGTCTTTTTCGCCAAGAAGAAAGTGTCTCGCGATAAATCTCGGATAAGCCTTAGAAAACTCGCTTCGATTAATGATCTTTTCGGATAACCTAAGTTGGGTCAGCGACATATAATTCTAACAACTTTTATCTTGAAATATTACATCCTTCTTTAAGATAAAAAACATTAATCAATACACGCAGTTACTTCAAATCTAGATACCTCTTGATTTAGTTTAACCACAATTTTTATCTTAATCATGCTTCGAAAATTAAATTTTACCCTTAATTTAATATTCCCTGAATTTCAATTTCTAAATATCTTAATTAATATTTATTTCCATCATAATTAGAATTTATATCTTCATTAAGAGTGGCTAACCACCGTATCGGGTATAATTTAGCTCAATTTCGAACTAACTAATTCACATATTTTTTTGTACGAAATTTCGAATACATTTATAAAGATATCTTTTTAGAAATCTCTCTCTTTTCGATAAATTTGTACTAGATTGCGTTACCTCGGAGCAATGCGGAGTATCAACGTCCGATTAATGTCCCGAGATGGCCTCGCGATATCTCCGCTCTCATTTCGCTCGTCCCACATTAATTATGGCTTTAAACGTCCGCAGAACTCGTTGCGTCAATTTGACATCGCGCGACTTATTAACGGGACGACTCGTAATGTTTTCCGACAGGCGTACAAAGGCAGGCGCGTTATTCATTCGGATGACCGTGAAGAAGATTTCCGACAATGCCGACGGTCTTGAAACGAGTAGAAGTGATCGGTTATTATATGTCCGTGCCGTGTTTTCGACAATGAATGCAATCGGAAAGAGTTTCGGTTCGCTAACTTGTTGAGATACGGTCAACATCGATCTTTCGTAAATGGTTTTGACCTTTGGGGCTTTGCCAAATTATATCGACAAGTGGTTTCTCATTTTCATCAGCGAGTACATAAAGGCGCTTTGAAGCATACAATTTATAATCGTAATTAAAATTTACATTTTAATTTGCGACTCGCTCGTCTTATCGTTACCTATTAAAGGACCGATCAATTCCTAATCGCTTGTACAATCTCGTTTGGCCTAAATCGACGCATTGACCTTTTCGTGAGAGATGGAGAAAGATTAATTAGATTAACGTTGACGTGTCCACCCTTGAAATCCGACAATTAAATTATTCAAATTTTATGCGAACGCGGTTTTCAAATTGAATTTTGAATACGGATTTGCGCGAGGGAGGGTCTCGTTACTTTTGCCATATTTTCGTCGCGAGCAAAAATGTTAGCTTTCAATTTGCATCATAATAACGTTCGAAACAGGTTCGGATAATGAGGCGAGGCATCATCCGGTAAAGGGATATGGAAGTGGAAAAGTCGCGACTCTCCGGACTCTGCTTCAGCATCGGAAGGTTCGCATAGTCAAGTTAATATGCTAATTGCCACATTGAAAGAGCGGAACTAATTGAATTAAGCGATGCAAAAAGTTTTCGAAATTAGCATGAATTAGAGAAGCCGCGCTGGCCTCTTATCTTACGGTGGACAGCCATTCAGAATCGCTCTCGGAAGTTATTTCACCGTTTAAAAATAATTACCTTCCTTCATACATAACAATAACAGTAGATATTTCTTCGCTTTTTATATCCTCCGCGGATATCAAGGTTTTTTTTACTCGGAATAAAGAAAACGGAATAAAGAATTTTGGATCGAAACCATTCTCGAAGAATTAATTTCCGAGATATGAAGTGTGAAGAGCTGCTTATTCTGACATACGAACGGTTCTTTTGGAGATGGTCTCTTAAAATTCAAATGTTATAAATATATATATATATATATACCCCATCTCTCCTTCACGCTTTCTTTCCCTCGTTGAATATACTTGAGAATCTGTCGGGATTCGACGACGTCTCGCCGATATACGGCTAAATATGACAAGCGCCACGCGGAATAAGACGGAGAATAAACGAGAAATACGGATAAATCCTCCTTTCTCTCCTCGTACATTATTTCGGCGCACAATACAAATACGCGTGGAAAAAAGCTGCCATAGAGACGCGCCCGTATTCGGTTCCCTCGGCAAGGATGACGGCGGGATTGGCAGGTCGGATCGACTCGACGCGACGCGGCGTCCCGTGAAACGAGAGGGACACCGACGCTAGTGCGTCGTGTCGTGTCGTATCGTTACACGCGTTTCTCTCCCTCGAATACGCGCACGATTTTCCGTCGTGACGGACAGTCTCCTATATATTTTGCGTCCGCGGCGCTTTGAACGACAAGCGGCGATAGTAGGCGTCGCCGACGAGCCGGCTCGTTTCGAGTCGAATAAAGGCCGGAATTTCGACTGCTGCCGATACGGGGCAATAAACTGTGAGAGCTAGAATTGTCGCTTTTTTTCGGAGGAGAGCTTCCCAAGTTTTTAAAAATTTATTTGTAATTATAATTACAAATAAAAATAGCACACCATATCCGAAAGACATTCTGAGGATATCCAGAGGACATTCAGAGAACATATCCTCGGGATATGTGTGCTGTTATAATAATTTTATTTAATTTTATTTCTAATTATAATTATCGTGTAAATATGAGATCTTTATTTTCTGTTAAAGAATGAAAATAAAAACTCTGTCATAAAGTGTCTATCGTTTCACGCGGATGTTTCCGATTAAAATTTTCCCTCGTTCTCCAACGAGGCAACACATATTCGAGTAACACGAAATCACAGATCGTAATTCGATGTTAACGAAGATAAAGCTCGCGCATCGGCGGGCTTTGTGTAAGAGGTGATTTCGTTGAAAATTGCAGTTGCAATATTCGTCTCGCTGCTGCAACTCTGCGCGTTCGCGCGAATATATGCGCGTCGTATCGGCTTTATCGCACTGCGGGCGGGTCGCTATTGTTTCGTTTACCGCGTCGTCCGATCATCGCTGGAAAAATATGACGCCGCCGTTTTGTCGCTATATGGTCGCGCATGACGTGCCGAGGGGGATGGATTAGTCCTTCGGCACACTCGGGGTTTCATAACGCGTCGAGTTAACATCGGGGGAACCGCGTTTCCAGTCTGCTAATATCGCGCAACAATTTTTAGAGGTCTTCTCTGTGTCGGTGTATGTGCGATAGTAATCGAATCAATTTTTGGAAAATATAGCATTTGGATGTACAGGGTGTCTGACATAAGCTGTCACACTGAAAATATACAAGTAGATCTTGTTATTCGGAGACAATTTTTCCTCCGCAAAAATTGAGGCATCAATAATTTTCGAATTATAAGCGATTAAAAATCAAGAATTTTTCGCAAACTAAGTCTTGTGAGAAAAATATTAACAAAACTACATTCTCCAATTAATTTCAAGTAGAATTTATTTTAATAAAATTTTAATTTAAGGTTTAGTTATAAAGATACATGTGATGGCAAAAATTGAGAACATGCAAAAAATGATGGCCTTTCTCGATATTTTTGCTGAGGAAAAATCGTCTCCAAATAACGAGATCTACTTATGTTTTTCGATGTCACACTTTATATCAGACACCCTGTATATTAGATCAGAATTAGGTTCGAATAAAAATAATCGTAATTTGT